CATAACGTTACTGAGCCTCCCAAGTAAAGTCTACGCAAAGGTGTTAGAAAGGAGGTGCCGTGAAATAGTTCACCTTAAGATCCAAGAAGAGCAGTGTGGCTTTCAGCTAGGTCGAAGCACATCTGACCATATATTTTCCCTCCGCCAGATTGTTCAGAAATCATGGGTGCACGCCCGTCTGATGTGCGCGTTATTTTGATCTAGAAAGAGCCTATGACCGGACCCCACGCAACAGTCTGTGGTCATGCCTGCAAGCATACATGAGAGATGTCCAGCTGCTAAAAGTTGTTAAATCACCCTGTTCTGATAGCAAGAACTGTGTGCCAGAGTAAATGGCGTTAAGTCGAAACCATTCAACGTTCGCACAGGTCTCCGCCAAGGCTATGTCCCGTCCCCTATCCTATTTGTGTCTAAATGTATAAAATAGCAGAAGTATGAAAGACGATGAGTATATCGGTGTAAATAATGTGAAGACAAGAATGTTGCTCTTTCCAGATGACATTGTTTCTTTGGCACCTTCTGAAACTGATCTACAGTGTTCCGTAGAAAAGTTTGCAGCCGAGTGCGACGCGACCGGCATGCGTGTAAACCCAACCAAATCGAAATGCCTAGTACTTATTCGTTCTCCTGCAACTTGTTCTCTTCAGATTAGCGGATAGGTAGTAGAGTAGATAGAGAAGTTTAAGTACCTCGGAGTCATATTTACAAGTGATTGAAAATTTGAGGAAGAGATCAACCGGCTAATTGCAGTAGCCACTGGCATTCTGCGTGAACTAGCACCATCCACTGTGACTAAATCAGAGCTGAGTCTGAAAACTAAGCTCTCGGTGTTCAAGTCGATCTTTGTACCCATGCTTACCTACGGTCATGAGTTATGGACGATGACTGAAAAGCTTCGAACCCGGGTACGAGCTGCTGAAATGGGCTTTCTTAGACGAGTCGCTGGTCTTACGCGTCTCGATATGGTCAGGAATACTGGCATCCGAAAGAGCCTTGGCATACAGCGTTTGCTTTTACAGAGAGGTCACAGCTGCGATGGTTTAGAAACGTGCTGCGAATGCCTCCAGGAAGGAAAAGCAAGTGTTTGTTGCGAAACCGACCGGTAGAAGGCCCAGAGAACGATCAAGATTAACCTGTTTCCAATATATGGAAGGAGTTTGTTCGAGACTCCAGTTGTATTCTACCGGAGCTCAAATTCTGGCGCAAGTCCAGAAACTGGAAGCTCTGACGTTTCTGCCTCCGTGACCCGAAAGGAAAAGCGCCCATAGAAGAATAAGATATGGATGATTACAGCATGGTTAGGTAAAATGAATGATATCTGACAATTTGATGCTCTGCGTTGCTTCACGTAATCGTCTGCATCAGCTACGAAAAAATGAACATAATTGATGAGCAATAGTTTTACCCAGTTCAGGCAAGCTTGGCTTGATAAAACGATTAATGTTCAACGAATTTTCACTTCATGCAGGTAAATTTTAACTGTATGCATATATTACCCATGTTGAACCTAGTGTACTGTTTGGAATCTTTGAGACCTTACAGTGTTACTCTCTTCACAATTAAGGAAGCTTATCAACAGTTAAAACCCTGATGGAGCTGAAAATTATCGCTGCTATTGATTTCTGAATGTTTATTTATTCACAGCTGCGATGGCTTGGGCATGTTGCGAATGCCTCCAGAAAGGAAGGCTAAGCAACTGTTCCTTGCAAATCCAACCGGCAGAAGACCCAGGGGATGGCCAAAATTAACCTGGTGGAAACATATGGAAGGAATCTGTTCCAGATTCCATTTGTCTTTTGCCGAAGCTCAGACTCTGATACAGGATCGAGAACGTTGGGAGCTCTGTCTAACGTGTCTGCCTCCGCGACCAGAAAGAAGCGGCGATGGAAGATGAAGACTGCTTAAAACGCTGCTACTCTATTTTAACTTCTGATACAAAATTTCCATTTAAGCTATTTTTGCTTCGATGACATTGGAGTAGTACTTCAACATCAAAAGTCATTATTGATTCCAAATGTATCATTTTGCCTACTTGAGCAAGATCGCCAATGGATCTGCTTCACGTAGATAGAAGACGCCTCTTAGCAACAAGAAAACAGGATATAACTAGACAAGTGGATAAACATACAGAAGTACAATCACAACGATTGTATTAATAGACTATCCTAATATTATAGCAAATAAAAAATTGCGGGTCTTAAGCACCAGCTTTATATATTTTCCATTACTTGCTATAAAACTATGATCAGGGTGAATCGTCAAACAGAACTCAGGGAACAACAGGACTCAGCGAGTCACATTCTTTGGTATTTACCGCATTAGTAAATGCTAGTGTCACCTGTAGAATGGTCATTCAGGGACGCTAATATCTGAACCGAAATGTATTTCACTGCCTATTCTAAAATAAGATATTTATCATCTCATTTATCATCAGTGAAAAAACGATTCGCTTATGAAATGCAACTAAAATCCAAGCAATGCTGCTACAGGACTTACAGGAAAGACCAGTATCATCATATATGCGACTCTCAGTACACAGGACACCCGAAGATTGTGAATGCGCAATGAAAACCTTCTTACGCGGTCTTCGGTTGTTTTACCCGTCACTATTTCAAATGTAATTTTCAATAAAACATTACGGGATAATTTCATCGTCATAAACTGCTATAAATATCGCGTTGTTGCGTTCAATATGTTAATACTAAAAGACTTCCCATTAGATGGTAAGATATTCTATGAATTGTAATGGCTGCCTCGTGAATAATCGTGCAAGAGCCTTCACGCAGCGACAAACCTATAGTCAAGCGGGCAGAATGCAATCTTTTTAAGAACACTACAATGTAATTGCTGGTATTAATAATGATCTGCAATCAGCTGCACAACGCCAATTTTCTGATAAAACGTCACTTAAGGCGTGTAAACGGTAATTTAAGGGCCCATATGACTTCTGTACCGCAAACCGACACGATGGAAAGGAAAATTTTAACTCTTCCGAAACTTCGTATTTAAAGGATGGATTTAAAAAACATCGGGTGTATCGAAAATGGCAATCTGAAGAGTACTTTCGCATATCTACTGACTTCCAGTGCTCTGCTACGCCATGCTACAAAACGAAAACTCTTGCATACATGAAAGGTTACAGGTTGCAGAAATGATAAAGCGCCACAATCGTATGATAACCTTCATATTCCATTTAGCTTTAAACACAATTAGCATCTTAAAATATACAAGAAAATTTAAGAAAATTTCACAAGCGAACACGACTACAAACTAGCCTATACATAATTCATAGATTGAAATGTGGCATTTCACCCCATTGCAAAAAAAAAAAGAGTTTGTAATGTATTTTATTGAAAATTAAAATAGCAAAACAAGATTCAAAGAAAGTCCTCACTGGTTCCGCAAAGACAACTGCATTTTATCAATCATATCATTATGACCACTAACATTATAATACTTTGTACTTGGCTTTGTTGTAAATTTGAGCTGAATTCATCGATGCCAACTTTCTTATTTCTTCTTTAAGTACGCGGATGATTTCAGACTTGGCGCGGCTTATAGCCAGCTCCGAAGTAGCCTCTATGCAAAGATA